TCGGTACAAAGAGTGCTATTATCTGATTAATACAGAGTAAGAACTGTAGTCACATAATGAGAAAACCTTCTGGGGGCAAATGTGAATGTTTTCAATACAGATGTACCTTTCAGTCAGTTATGGAACTGACCCAAAAGTTAAATATGAAATGATTAAAATATGAAGATTCTAAAAGTTTTTATCTTTGACATGCCCAGTTTAATCTAAAAACAAATTAAACTAAGTAACATGAGTCGTTCTCGGATGAAGCTTTGATCATGTTGATCCTTGTTTCAGCTGATCTAGTCCTCTGTCTCCGTGAGTGCTTACTTTGTTAAATATTTTATTGTTTTCTTGGAGTATTGCAATTGGTAGATATACTGTATTGTTTGCATTCCTAAAGTATGATTTCATGAGTGGATGGCAGCCATCTTGTTGATCGGCCATCTTTGTTGGTCGGCCATCTTTGTTGGTAAGACTGCCAAGTCCATGTGGAGTCAAGGAGATGTTTTGAAAGGTCACCTATTTTGTCGAAGAACTACCTTACTGTATCAGCTGTTTGTGATATTGTATTTCAAACTGTACAGTCATGACGCTATATATAATATTATGACAGTATTAACACAGATGTTGTATTGTGGTATATTGTAGAGTAGCCAAAATCAACAGCTTCCAGTAGAACAAAATTTCATTAATGTATCACACTCTGTTCAGTGAATCAAAATACTGACATTTCAGCTAGGAAAGCATGTTGAAAATGTAACTTTCATTTTTGAATTTTTGAACTGGTATGCTTTCAAAAATCAGCTGCTGTTTCACTTCCATTGAAGTCAGTGGAGAAATATGTGAGTTATGTTTGGAGTTAACTGTCCTTGCCTGATTGAAACAGCACACCAGATTTGAAATAAAGCTGGTATACTAATATTAGTAAATTAAAATCTAAGGTTTCTTGAAAAGTTAAGGATTTGCATCATGTGATTGTTTATTTGTTTTGGTTTTTTGGGGGGGCGTTATATTTTTTAAAGAGAATATGATAGAATCGGTCCTTTTCAAAACAGTACACAGTGTGTTGTGTACACAAATTGAATATTAGACATATGAGTTGTGAGCAAGCATAAGAGGTTTTAGAGGCGGTACACATGATTAAATGATAATTTGAACCTCACGTGGACAAGATCGGTGTAAAATAAAAAATACATTAAAGGTCACATGCAACCAAAAAATCAAACATAATTAAAACACAATTATCACTTATTCATGACATATAATATACATTGCTAATTATGAAAAAAACATATAAACAAAATTATAAGCGTACAATCGCAAATCAAAACTGCAATATTTTGTACTTGGGTTTACTTCCCAAGAAACGAAGCAGCCGGGATACGAACCCAGTCAGAGAGGGTGGGTGTGCACTCAAGTGTAACGGCTGGTTCATTTGTAGATGCCCTCACGGCTCATTGTGTGTGTATATATAGAGATGTTGGGGTTTTGTAAATACATGCTCATTTTTTGTGTATAACATTTTGCAATCAACAGACATCATAACATGTCATGTGTACAAGTATCACACCTGCCTGTCTGTGTAATTACATAATGTGACAGAGACCAAACTCAGGCCATAAATCAATGCGTTTTGTTTATGGTGTATAGCCTGATAGGTGTTAAGTTCAAATTGCATGTGGTCAGTGATCGAAGTTGTGTTTTGAATATTGTCATTAGCAGACAGGCAGGCAGACACATAGGTGTCAATAAAACAGACATTGAGTTTTGTCTGTGACAACAACATATCTATATCACAGTTAGAAATTCTGTCAACGCTAAATAATGACATTGCTTTTAAGTATCGAACTGAGAAAGTGACTCGGTAAGAAGAACGTGTGGTGAAATAGACAAATGAAATTATATAAACAGTAAAATCGGTAATCTACTGTCATAACATATAAAGAGCTGACGCCTGTGAAATATCAACAAAACATTAGAAAAATAGCTCACACCAAAGCCTTCACCGAGTATTCACCGGACAACCCGCTTCCAAGCTGCACGAACCTATTTCACTGCACATGTGCTATGAGCGCAGCCCAGCTGTTGAAACCACTTTTCCCCCAAGCGCTTGGGGAAAATTAGTGAATCATTTGAACTCCGATTTAGCTGGGTTTTTTTCCATAACGTTATTTTTCAACTTTATAACTTGAATTTGCATTTTTGATGATTTGTTTCGGTAAGTCCATACCGGTAAGTCCATACCGAAAGGTATCAGAATCTGCAAAGTTGTGTTTTACGTTGCATGTGACCTTTAAGAAAATACTTATTATACTCAAGCAAAGAAACATCAAAGATTCATCTATCTGTTGGGATGTTTGACGAAGGGACCATGCCAATGCCGACATATTGTCTGATTAGCATAAAGCATCTAGGCAACAAGATTGGCTAATAATCTGTTACATACAAATGAGACAACTTTGAGAAGAATCACACATTTCCACTCTGGCCGAACCACCAGATGTGCAGGCCTACCAAAGAAAACTTTCCCACTGTGCAGAAAAACGCAGAAAAGCCCACATTAATCGTGGAAATAGCAACATAAACATAATACCTCGCTACTGAAACAGTAAAAACGGCAACGAAAAACTATGAAACTGCAACATTTTTACATCAGCGAACTTTGACCTCTACTGCGCATGTGCATCACGATCCACGCTTCATTCCAATTTCCGAGCAACCGTGAATCGCCTCCTGTAGAAAAAGTATTAAATATGTTGAAATAATTGCTGTCAATCATTTCATACAAATGGAAAGTAAACTAAACAAGTGTGCACACAAGTATCATGATGATAAATGCCAAATAACATAACAGAAATACTTAAAAAGGAATGTAACTTTTGTCCAAGCTGGAAAATGTCAACATGCGGTCGAGACTTCCTCTTCCATGTGCGCATGCACAAAATCGAAGTTGCAGGCTCTTCGTTTTTTTATGCAGTTTTAGTGATTTAAAGTTGCCCTTTTTACTGTTTCAGTAGCGAGGTATTATGTTTATGTAGCTATTTCCACGATTAATGTGGGCTTTTCTGCACAGTGGCAAAGTCTTCTTTGCTAGGCCTGATGTGGGTGTTAACTAATCAAGAAGATTAAGATGAATTGTAAAAGTTGCAAACTGTATTCATCCAAAGGAAAGAGTGTTGGTTATGAATAAATTTAAAGATTTATTATTTACAGAATTGTGTACATTTATTGGCTTTTAATGGAAGACATGTTTGCAGTTGTTTTTTCCTGGGGGGAAGGGGATCTTTGTGGAGGACTTCACGTAGTGCCACTTATGTATAGAGCTAGTAGTTTCCTATTTTATTATCATAATATATCTACATATCATTCTTGTCAAATTGTTTTGTGTATTTATGGCTATGAAAAGCTACTAATCCTGTTTAGTATTACTTGTAGTCTGGAAAACAGTACTGAAGGTCATAACAGTTTACAGCATGTCTCCCTTTGCCGTACCAGGATCTGCTGATCTCAAATTCTAGTTTAGGCCGGCTAAGACCTTTGCTTGCTCCTTACTTTTCTAGAGACCTTTTTATTGAAAACATAGCTACAGTTAGCAAAGTTAGATATAAATTAAATAACATTAAGATTAATGAGATTTAGTTCAACTAATTTATTTCAACTAATTTATTAGCCTCCTTTGCAGTTGTTCTGTCAACCCTTGTGAATATTTGCTGACACTGACATTTGATATGTAGTACCTGTAAATATTTGTTTGATATTTTTACTTGCAACTGGTCCATGGGTGCTCTTGGTATACTTTGTTTGCCATTTATAAATATTGACTGTGTGTTTGTTTTATAATGTGTATATGTTTACTATAACCAATGTTTTACATATTATTTCATGTACAAAACCGAAAGGCACGTGTGTTTTTTTGTTCTCCACTTGTATGGTATGAGAGGAAATCTTTCAGTAGAAAACCTAGGACTTAAGTACGTGACTGGTAGGAAATGTTACACATGTGTGGTGTAACTACCATTATATTTGTTTAGTGATTTTGATTAGTGTTTTTCAGATTTGAATTTTTCAGCTAGTAGTGATTTGAGATTTACAAAAGGAATGGTAAGGTGGTATAGTTTTCAATTAATCATCTTAGAATTATGTTCGTGATTCAATATTTCAGTTTTAGTGCCAGTTTAGCTGGGTCATTCTAAATCAGTTTATCAGCCAAATGTACTGATTTCAAAAAGTTGAAATACACAATCTCTACAGACACACTGTGTGAATACAAATTTTGCATTTATTTCTCAAGCTCTTTAGTAGTTTTTAAGTATTGTTTTGTCTTACAAAACACATTTTAATAGTTTCTTTAAATAGTATACATTTTGTATAGGTATAAAGGTGTTAAAGTCACATTCAAAATGATAGTTCTTATGAACGGAATTGTGGTCGTGTACTAGTACAAACTCACACCAGTTTTATAATGCTGGTCCTTGGATATACAATGCTGCAGTTATAACATACAGACTCCAAGTTGACCAGTACTTGTTTTATTCCCATGATGCCAGACAGCAGGCAGGGTAACAAGAAGTTTAATTTTTTAAACCTCTTTTGGTACATTTTGTATAAAATTTCTTTAATGCCCCAGTTGAAAGTAAGTTACTATCAGTTATTTTTTGGTAATAGGTGGCACTTGTATAGTAAAATTTGTTTTGTTTGAAGATGCAAGAATATTAAGTTCTGATTATTCTGCAGAGAATATCATTTATTTGGTTTCAGTTTATGCTATGTCATAGTACTTGTGATACTGTTAATGAGATTATTCCATGGTGTAATTGTTATGGATACCAAAAATTATAAGTCCATTTATTGTTGTGCAAGTATGCTGATGAGAGATGCTAACTAGCCAACTGCTGGAAAACAATTTCATAGACTATTCTTTTGAAAAGGTTTTCCAGATATACCATATACAATTAGATGCATTTCCCTTGAGAACTATTTTGTGTAAATTCATACCTTTTACAATCAAATGAATTTCCTTTAAACCAGTTGAAATCTTACTGACATTAAATCCAGCCATTCTGAAAGTCCAAGCTAATGTGTCCAGTTTTTCCGTTGGTCCGTCTACTTGCTGTCTAGTCCTCCATACTGTATATGCTGACTGTTATCCATACATATATACATCATAGCTGTACACAGAGAAGCATTAAAATACTGTGCAATGTCTTCGTGTTTTCACTTTACCTGGAACTCATCAGTTCCATCACCCTCACAAGTGTTATATTTCTGTCATATTTAACTGTAGGGCAGTCTGCTACATCAATATCTACTTCTCCTAAAAGTGTAAACAAGCTTTTAATCCATTTACCGTATTTATTAATGGTGGTGGCAAAGAGGTCTGTTCCTAGATGCTGACAACACCAGTTCTTACAGAGGGCTACTGCGAGAGATCAGTCCAACCATGCCGACCATACATTTCCCTTATAGTCTGTTTGCAGTGAAAACGTACCGATGAATTTCACTTTAAGTAAAAAAGTAAATCAAATAAAGTGAAATTAAGACTGCGAATCCTCGTAAATTTGCCTTGCCAACTGAACATTAAATCTCAGAATTTTATTCATTGTAGGACAAAAGTTGTTTAACAAACGATCATGCATATTATTGGTTTGTATAACAAGGGGGTGAGCACAGTAGATGGAACAGTGAAACAAATGTATGTGCGGTACGTGATGAGCGTTAACTTAGACCAACACTACTTGTTCTCGGTGTTTCATTTAAAGTGCATACCCCTTGTAATACAAACCAATAATAGCGATTTGAAACTATGATAAACTTGTTAAACAACTTTTATCCTAAGTTGAATAAAATTCTGAGATTTAAATGGTCAGTTGGCAAGGTAAAATTATGTGGATTCGCAATCTTAATTTCATCTTATTCGATTTACTTTTTTGTATTGACATTCATCAGTACGTTTTCAATGCAAACAGACTATAAGGATGACCGCTCCACCACCGTACCAACCACCTCATTCTCTTGATAGTAAGTTGTCAAAACCGGCAGCTGTCCAGTTCGGCAAGTTGTCAACACCGGCATAAAATCACAGTCCCGTCCGTGCTCAGGAAAACTGCAGCGCAAATAGGGCTGCGCAACAGAGAGAAATTACCAGTCTTACTATATGCAAGCGAAGCGAGCAAAGGTTGGCAACGTGGTTCCCTCTCTTCGGTTCAAAAATATTTTTAATATCAAAATATAATATGGCCACCATCAAAGGTAGACACCCATTTCCTCACAGGGTCTCCTCTTGGATTTCCAACCTCATATTTAATAATTACTCACATAAAATATATTTAATTCAACATTTTAAGCACCACTCGTGGCATATCAAATCGTTCCTCGCCTCCATTACCCCTGCCAGTTGTTGCTATCAATCACCAGTTTAGCTCAGTAACACAACATGGTTCCTTGTTCATGCCGTCAACAAGCGGCTTATCACTAACAGATCAACTACAGACATGACACAGGCTTCAATGACAGAGACGAGTCACACTCAGACTCCCTGATCCCATTGCCAGGTCCCCAATAGATCTGGCTAGCTATTCTCGAAACGTTCGTAGCCCTACAAACTCCGTAAGCCCATTCTTAACACATAGGCTACAATCAAAGTTAAGAATTCTTAGGGCTAAGAACGTTTCGAGAATAAGGGCCCAGGGGAATAAGGTGAGGTGGCTCAACACTGCTTTCAACTGTATTCCAGTTACATCACTGTGTGTCACTGTCAGTGGAATGTCTGATGCTTACCATTTCTGTGAAACCCATGAACATAGGTATGGTGCTGACAGATCAAGGAGCGTAGTCGATCTCAGGATTCAAACCTGTGATAAAGGTTCTTGTGTGCCCAGGGGACACAACTCTGCAGTGAATTGTGTAACATTAGACAATTAGGACCCCACAGTACACCCCTTATACACTGTGGACACATTCATGTTGAGTTCCTTACTTAACACATTGGAATACAATGGTTATCATGAAAACACTCCTCAAAACATCACCATGACATTGTTATTCTGGTGAGCAGGGTTGAACTGTATTTCAGATCACCTCACGCCGGCTACTGAAGGCCAACAGTCACGCAGATCATCCCCCTGACAGCCCTGACCTAATTCACCCCCGTGACCAGTGACTGCCACAGTTAGGGTATTCGATAAGTTGCAGTGCCCTCGACGATTGGGCCATGAGCATCTAGAACTTCCTTCAGGAAAATGTCACACATTGACAGTAATACATACACATCAAACACAATGTCAGGTTTAAAGCAAAAGCTTCTCTCTGTTTATTTCCAATATTAAAAGCAATCAGTACTTACTTTAACAAAACAAACAAAATATGACATTTGTGCATTGGCTGAACAGGAAACAAACTTGTAACCAGTAACCTCGTACTGATTGGCAGTCAGGATGCAACATAAGATGTAGGACACAAACCTAAGTACATCTTTGTTTACTTGTAAGTTTTAAAGCAAAAGTGTGCATGATCACAAATGTTGGAGGCATCCTTGGTTGAATAGGGAAACATTATTTATGTCAACATACATTTTTGTGGAAAAGGAATTTGATAATATTGTATTATGAACTTGTATTGTGTACTTTCCAATTTATACCAGCACAAATGTACTTAAACCATAACTGATTTTATCATCACCGGTGTCACAGAATCAGTGTGCACTCAACTTTCATCCTCTAGGGTGTATACAACAGGGTGTATAAAACAACGAAACGTAACATTCAGAAAACAAGAGTCATCAGATGACAAGAAATCCCTCCAGCCCTAAATCTAAGTAAAACTTGTAGCAATGAAAACAGACAAAACTAAACACCCTAAAAACCAATAAATAACATGCACCAGTTGACAACATGATCTCTGTGTGTGCCAAGTTTCACAAATGAATACCATTTAGAAATATGGTCAGGAAAAACACTAAAATGAACAGCGGCAAAGTTAAACTTATACTAGAAAGGCGCAATGTTGAAATTCTAAAAGTCCCTAAATACCAGTAGAAAAACACTAGTGGCCAACCTGAAAGAATACCTATCAGTTTTATAAATGTGGTCCAGCGAAAAACAGAGAAGCATAGAGAGGCTGATTACTATGTCCCTCTATTTACATCCTGGGTACAATCGTAAACAAACCTGGATCACAATGGACACTAGATACTCCATGTGAAGTCTAAGCCAGAAACCATGGAATGTGAGGACAGCTGATGCATGCCACTGGCTGCAATGTTTTACCTCCACAGTATCACACAGAACACTAAGCCAACAACATGGAACCCATCATTTTCGTTGCCAAATTAACACAAAACAGCTCATCCTCAGTGCTTCTAAAACTCATGTCTCTCATCAACAGAGGAAACACCGGGAAAATGTTTTTCTGAATATATGTAGTATACATGAACTCTTAAAATGATCATGCTGATTAACATAATAACAATGTACCCTTGCGTGTCTTCAGTCGGAAAACAATATCTTCAGAAAATGAGTAATGCAACCACAAAGAAAAGATCTTCTAGAAGTATTGTTGTTTCCCATTAACTTCCCTAGTATCTTAAATGTGTTTTGATATTCACGGGATGGTCAACTCAAAAATTGCCGATGTGAATGTCTCCCTCAGGTAGCAGTGCTGATACAGGTTTAACAGGGTTTCCATGGTAACAACAATACATTACAAGACTAAAGATGCTGTAGTTCACTTGAATGATGCACTCTTGTTGTTGATGGGTCTCTTAATGCACTTATCACTGCTCAAATAGGCCTTGATTTTGGGAAGTGCCTCGAAACGGGTCAAGAAGGCCAACAGTTTTGGGAATTTGTCAAGACTTCCAGGCTTCATAATTCTCGTCTGGTCCAGGAGTTCATACATTGGAAAGTCACACACTGTCACCTGCCACAAGTAAGCACAATAGTTAACACTCATTCCCTGATTTGCCACACAGATTAAAAGAGCATAAATTGTACATACAACACAATCTGGTCACAAGATCCTACATTTTTTAGTATCAAACATTTAGATCTTGTACAAACATATACAAAAAATACATAATTCGATATTACCTTACGTTTATAAGATATTCAGATTATTTTCTAAAATATTTCCCAAAAAGAATATGTTGTACATGGTTTTCACAGCATCTAACTAAAATATTAGAGATGTTAAAAATTCAGTAATTTGTGATCATTAATTTTCTTCAGTTTCGTTACAAAAGGCATTTTGAACCAGGTCCTTTCAGCATGTCAACTCACCTTACTGCCTGCGAAAAAGGCTCTGTTAACAAGGAAGTTCTCGAACACCTCCAGCTTAGCTGGTAGCGCATCGAAGTAGGCAGCCTTCTTCTTTTCCTGAATAAGCAAAATCTGGCGTTACACAGAGTTCATTAGACTACTGAGTGAGTGAGTTTAGCTTTACGCCGCACTCAGCAATATTCCAGCTACATGGCCTGGGTCTGTAAATAATCAAGTCTGGACCAGACAATCCAGTGATCAACAGCATGAGCATCAATCGGTGCAATTGGGAAACAATGACTTGTGTCAACCAAGTCAGCAAGCCTGACCACCTGATCCCGTTAGTCGCCTCTTCCGACAAGCATGGGTTACTGAAGATCAATATTCTAACCCGGACCTTCACGGGTATATTAGACTAATGTTTAGTCTCTGATAGTAACAAATAAACCCATTTATATTGAAAAGGAGCCCCAGGGAGACCAGATATTCAGAACCTGAACCTGGAGAAATCTAGACTTGGTTCATTTAGGGCTTTAGTATTGCAGGGAGGGCTGTAGGAAAATAATATGGATCAGGGACTGTGAGACAGATTAAGAGTTCATCAGACTAATAGTTCACCAACCTGAGTGAGTGAGTGAGTGGCACAATAAGCAGTTTTCCAGCTTAATGACAGCAGTTTGTAAATAATCAATTCTGAACCAGAAAATCCAGTGATCAACAGCATGAGCATTGATCTACGGAATCAGGATATGATGACAAGTGTCAACCAAGTCAGTGAGCCTGACCACCTGTTTCCGTTTCTTCCAACAAGCATGGGTTGCTGAGACCAATTCCAACCCGGACTTTCGCGGGTAGAATGAGTCACATTTGTATCGGTTACAATTTAACACAAACCCTATCCTATTCACTGCTTTGTTTGAGCATTGTCCTTTCTATAGCATTCATCAGCGAATTGATGCCGACACTCTCTCATCCCTGAGATAGCGATACTGAAACACTTTGAGAAAACATATCTCAAGTTTTTAATATAACACGAAATGACCTAAACTTTCAAATGAGGGTGTTCTATGTATTTAGGCTTGAGACTATCACACACAATCTCTATTGACAGGCTCAGTTGGGTTAGCCAGCAAATAGTACAGACAGCTAATGAGACTTTGCTGGCAGCGTTGGAGAACGGAGTTGAGACCAGATATTAGCTCCCACCTTTAACAATGCAATAAAGGCATACTTACATAGTCAGAGCTGTAACAAAGCCCAACAATTCCATTTCTGAAGTCCATAGCTTGATCAAGCATCATATCGCCCTCAGCCTTCTCCTTCTCTGTCTCTCCCACTAAAACAGGGACACTGATTAAACACCAAGTCATGTGTATATAGGGGTGAGTGGCGTTTGGATGGCTTTAAGCAATAAACACATCAAGGACACAGATTAAACACCAACATTGCATATAGTGCGTGGATGGTCAGCCATGCAGGAGACACCAGAAATGGGTTTCACACACTGTACCCATGTGGGGAATCGAACCCAGGTCTTTGGCACGATCAAACGCATAAATCAACCCAGGTCTGGGGACTACCCTGGACCACCACACCCCTACAGATTATACGTTTGTCAAGCAAAAGTGAAGTACTACAGCACAGACCAGGACTTATATACACTTAGACGAGGGATTAAGTAATAGCAACATATACCAGGACTGAATGAGGGGGACTAATAACACGCAGTGGCAATACTTAGTGACAATAGGAAGCCAATGGTGGTTGATGTAAAAACAAAAATACATTGTCGGTAAAACCCAGGACTCCTACATCTCTGGTGACTGGTTCTGTAACAGAAGCTCCTCAAAATAACTGAAGCGGACCAGATCCTGAGTTACGATGTTGTGGACCTCTTCACAAGTGTCCCCATAGAAGAAACTCTCCAAATCCTCCTTAGCGCATCTCTGAGATTAGACCCCCTTGACACCCAACCTCACCACTGGCTCCATCATTGCCCTCACCTCTGCCTGCATCACCTCCACTTGCTTCACCTGGGAGGCGGCTACTATGAACAAATCCGGCCTGCCCATGGGCTCCCCTCTGTCCCAATACTCACAGAAATCTACATGACCTCCTTCGAACAGCAAGCACTCAGCACCTCAACCATCAAACCAACCTGCTGGTACAGGAAGGTCAGGTAACCGTTTGTCATCCTTCGGCAGAGACCAAGACCCAGCAGCCCTCCTACCAACACCCTCAATAACAACAGCTTGGGTCCAATTCACCTTAGAAACAGAAGTCAGTGGTCAACTTCCCTCTGGAGATGCTTGTAAGAATCAACAAGATCCGTGATTCAGAGATGCCAACTTCGAATTTAGCTCAATTAGTCCAACCATTTTGGCCCAAAACTGGATTATCTCCGCCCCCTCACCAGGCGAGGCCATCAACCTTTCCTCCACCAGTCCCACTACAGAAATGCAGCACCTCAGCCATGTTTTCCACCCAAGTTCAGCCACTACCCGTCCGAGAACTAAGTCGATGGAATTATCAGCACCACGCATCCACCCAACAAGAAAACCTGGCCTCCAACAGAACCACTGAGACCAGCACCTATTAAGTATCTCCCTCCGCTTCATGAGAAAACCTCTCACCACATCAGCCCGTCTCCTCAAGCTGAGAAGCAGGCATCGAAACCCTACTTTACCAGCTCTACACCACTAAAACCCTACTGAAAGAATGGCAGGAACACCTCTAGCGACAACATCAACCCAAAGGTGTTGTCTATAAAATCAACTGTGACTGTGGCGGGGCCTATGTGAAGTGAGAAACCTCCCGGCCCATAAATATCGAATCCAAGAACACTTATCATCTACCACCAAATCTGATAGAAAATGAAGGCATTATCCAGACCATCATCATCAACTGCCCCAATCACAACATAATTTGGGACAATGTGGACATATTATCCAAAACCACCAGGACTTCACCAAAAAGGAAACTTGCAGAAGCAGTTCAAATCCGAGGAACCTGGCCTCAAATCAGCAGAGACCAGGGATATCCTCATCCCTTCTGCATCACAATGATCTCATAAAAACAACAGATTAAGAGCACCTCAGCCATCGTTGTTAATTAATCTCATCCCAGCATGTATATTTTGTTTTACATCAACCACCATTGGCTTCCCTATTGTCACTACATTATTGCCACCGATGCCTTGTTGTTATTAATCCCCCCTCATCCAGTCCTACATGTTGTTATTGCTTAATCTCCCTCTTCTATATATAAGCCTGGTAGTGTGAACACTTGTACTTCCTCTTGCTTGAGTTCGGTATAAGAATCCATACCCGAAACGTACATCATATATAATAAAGAAGTCCTTTTCCATAAATATTCTTACTTTCTTATTAGTCACCAACTTCTTACTTGTCACTCTCTCCTGATTTTCCCATGCACCTGGATCTACTGTGAACAAGCGTCCGTAGTTGTTTTTCCAGCGTGTGACGTCTATTCAGGGATCCTTGTCCCTCATGAGTCAAATGCTTCTGTATGGAGCATCAATTCCGTATGTGATGGGTGCAGTGGTGGGAAAAGAGCGTCTACTAAAATGCGTTCTTGGCTCGGTATGTGAAAATTATCCAGATGTTTGCCTTATCCGGTGACTCAACTGGAATGTAGGCTGAAGTAGGCTTGGCGATCTAGTTGATCCTTGCCGATTTATGGAGAATGCCACTGTAGGTTGTCGTGTGGACCATCTTCCTGGCATTCTTTGATCAGCAAGCTGCCCTATAGTTATACGACTATGATCACAGCTTTCATTTCTAGCAGATTGATGTGAAAGATGCTGTTCTGCTTTGGACCACTTTCCTGATGAAACGATTATTCGAGATCGCACCCCATCCCTGCTATCGATGCATCTCACACGTAAAGATGTGTGTCGAAGGCCCGGCTCTTGTAAAATGGGTCCCTCCGCCAGACATTCGACCTGTGAGTCCACCAAAGCAGGTACCTCTTGAAGGATTGTCTGGTAGCTCTAGTCCTGCTGCTTTGTAGGCTCTCAATATAACGGCTCTCATCCAAAACGATATTGTTGTTCTTGAGATGTATACTGAGGTCTCTGTAGACAAGGGGATGAATAGGCACTTGAATTTTCTTCTCTTTGTTTTAGTCTTTTGATGATATATCTTCAGGGCTCTGACCGGACACAAGGATAAGTCCTGAGTATCCTCTGGTTTGAGGATTGTAGATAGCGCTGGTACATGAAACTGTCTATCTGGTTGACCAGGTAGTTGATTCTTAGCAATAAAGTCCCCTCTGAGTCCTAGATGTACTGCAGCATGGTGCCCCGTGTTGAATCTAGTTCGTCCAAAGTCCAACGCATGTATCTCAGACATTCGAGCTGCCATAGCTAGGGCAAGCAGGAACAGAGTCTTCTGTGTAAGCAGCTGGAAGGTAGTCTGTTCTAAAGGTTTGTAGGCATCGCTCATGAGATGACGTAGAATTACATTCAGGTCCCAGGCTGGTGCTCTGAATTTCTTTTGCTGGTTCTCCAGTTTAAAAGATTGCAACAGAGCAAGTAATTCTGGTACTTTCGTCAACTTGATGCCTGACTTCATAGTGACGACTGTACTGATGGCTGCCAGATATGTGGATAATGTCGAACCTTTCAGATGTCTTGTATATCTAAGGTGACATAGATATTCCGCCACTTGAGGATGAGAAGCTTTCATGGCTATGATGCCTTTCGGCCTTGCATATCTTTCAAATTTCTGCCATTTGTCATCATACAAATTACGAGTAGATCTGCGTAACGCTAGCGTTACTGCTTTCGCTGCTCTGGCAGAGTATCCTATTTTCTTCAAACAGGTTTTGATAAGGTCCACACATGTAGCTGGAACAGTGCTGGGTTCCCGTGGATTTGCTTGGTGTGCGGATGTCTAATAGGTTCGGCTATTCTGGTAGCTTGAGGGTTGGACTTCCGAGATCTTCTATTGGGTCAAGGAACCATACTCTCGCTGGCCAATAGGGCGGGACCAAAGTCAATTGTAGTGCCTGTGTCTGTTTGATCTTCAACAGTACTTTTAGTAGTAATATTGGAGGTGGAAACGCGTATGCGTTTAGTCCTTCCAATGATATGCTCAGTGCATCTGTTGCCCAGGCTTGGGGATCTGGTACTGGTGAGACAAACGTCCGTAGTTGTTTGTTGAACCTCGTGGCGAACAGGTCTATTCATGGGGATCCTATTTCCTTTATGATGAGCTGAAATGCTTCTGGATGGAGCATCCATTCCGTATGTGATGGGTGCAGTGGTCGGGAAAGAGCGTCTGCTAGTACGTTCTTGGCTCCCGGTATGTGACACGCCTTTATCCAGATGTTTGCCTCCTCCGTGATGTTGAACAACTGGAATGTGAGCTGAAGTAGGCTTGGCGATCTTGTTGATCCTTGCCGATTTATGGAGAATGCCACTGTAGAGTTGTCCGTGTGGACCATCAGCATTCTGTTGATCAGCAAGCTCGACTATAGTTGTACGACTATGATCACAGCTTTCATTTCTAGCAGATTGATGTGAAGATGCTGTTCTGCTTTGGACCACTTTCCTGATGAAACTTGATTGTTGAGATGCGCACCCCATCCCTGTATCGATGCATCTACGTAAAGATGTGTGTCGAAGGCCGGCTCTTGTAAATAGGTCCCTCCGCAGACATTCGACCTGTGAGTCCACCAAAGCAGGTACCTCTTGAGATTGTCTGGTAGCAAGATAGGGTCGACACTGTCCACATGTTTTGCCAGGAATCGTTGCAACAGACGTAGTTGTAATCTTCCTGTGCGAGTCAAGTCCTGTGCTGAGGTTAGTAGACCGAGTAGACATTGCCATGTTCGTAGTATTAACGGAGAGAGGACTGATGAGGAATCATGGCTTGGATCTTGATCCAACAATCTTCTGGAATCATAATTCGATTCTGCGTTGTGATAAATCTTGAGTTGATTGGCTCTTTGATGAACCTGTATGCCATCGTCCAGATAACAGGCACTGCGTAGACCTCGATGATGCAGGTAGGCGACTATAGGCTTGGTTATTCGTGTGAATAGCCACGGAGCCAACGATATTCCAAACGGTAGGACGTTCCATTGGAAGTGCTGACCTCTGAATAGGAATCGTAGATAATTTCTTGATTCCGGGATGTATGGGCATGTGCAGATATGCATCCTGAAGGTCTATGCTGGCCATGTAATCTGCTGGACGGACGAGTAGTCTGAGTTGAGGTAAGTGGATCATTCTGAACCTGTCTGGTTTCAGTAGATAGTCCTGGTTGATTATCCACATGTTGTAAATCAACCTGAATTTCTCTTTGGAATTCTTCTTGGGTACTGGGAAAATTGGGGAGTAGAAGCCAGGCGTGAGATGATGTTGATCTGTTTATACAAACCTTTAGAGGTTACGGTATGAATTCTTTGAAGAATGTCCTCCTTGGGGTACATATAAGTATTAAAATGTCCATTCTAAAAACCTACAACAGTTGTAACTATATTTTAATAAAAATATTTGCAAAACAAAAAACACGTTTTTGTCTTGTGAGACCACCCCTACAGGATCCCCGAGGGGCCCCCTACCAGCAAGAGCAGGTAACTCTAGCCGACAACCTCGCACCTCACTTTTCATGCTGAACGTATCAGACAGAATGAGGGGAGGCGGGTGGCCGTACCCCAAGGAGGACTTTCTTCAAAGAATTCATAACCTCTACAGGTTTGTATAATTCTTTTTCAGAAGAAGTCCTCCTTGGGGAGAGCCATCCCTTCTCGAACCTCCGTCTCATGACTCATCCCTTCGCGAACGTCTGTCTCGAGATCCATCCCTTTGAGTACTTCTCTCTCGCGAACCCTGCCTTCGCAAACTTGATCCTTGCGAACGTCTGTGAGAGATATGGGATCTCGATCTAGAGCGACTTGATCTCAGAGATGGCTCCCTAGGTGTTCTCGAACGTGGCCTTCGCGAACCTTCCATCTTCTTCCATGATGACAGAGTCGTCAGACTGTGATGACCTTCACGAATGTAGACGTTCGCCAACGTAGTCTTCAGATGTAGATCTGTGAGGTGTATCAGGTTCGCGCAGGTCAGAGGGTTTGCGAACATTGCCAGTAGATGTGAGGTTCCGTCGAGCATTCGCTTCCTCCCCAAACCTACGTTCCATCATGGCCATCATCTGGTCAGTAAATTGCCTCATGAAGCCGCCTGAATCCAGGTTCTGCGCTGACTGAAGCTGATGCGGCGTTGATGAAGCGTTCGTGAACACTGATGTGTTGTGTGCTTCAACTTCGCTCCGTTGAGAAGTTGGTGGTTGGTCGTCAAACAGCTGGCCCGCTGTTGTAGTTGCAGGAGACAATCTAGTAGTCGTGGAGGTCAACTGCGTCGCCGAACTAGTAGGTACTTCAGGCAGAAGTAACTGTGGTTCATCAACACGTCTGCTTCGTGAGTTTGGATAATCTCCTCATTAAACGACCTCTGATTAGTTGACTTCCTAGGTCGCGTTGATATCGACTCTGATCTAGCTACAGATGCTCTCCTCTGCGTTGTAGGTGATGAAGAAGTCTTCTTCTTACTCTGAGAGTGTGTCAACTCCGTCGTAGCTGATCTCTTCTTCGACCCCGTAACAGACGACTGCCCCTGCAACGTACTCAACATAGCACTAGGATTACGTATTTCTGCAGTAGCAAGCGACATAGGGTTACCGGCTTGATCTCCCGATTTATCAACCGTGACTTGTGATGACTTCCTCACCCGACCCATGGCACGTCTATAGATATAAGACAAATATTGATTAAATTGTAGATTTGATAAACCAATGCAATATGTACAACGCAAGGTATAAGAACATGGTTTAATGCATGAAGGGCATTGGGGGTGAGGATCAGCCACTGATAGCCAGTGCCTGCAAACACTGCAAGATTTCATGAAATGTAAACAAGTTACATTACAATGAAAATATGTCACAAAATACAAATAATTTCTTCAAAACTTTTACATAAAATATAAACTATTTATAGCCAAATACCATACACAGAAAAATTTTGATAAATAGAATCTAAATAAAAAAGGATATATGCCGTATACAGGATTCCAGTGCTCGCCCAACCATCCGCTTGGGCGAAAAGGGAGAGAGTGACAAGTAAGGCGGGTCACATGACTGTTTACGCGGGAAAAGGGAGGTAACCCGTGGGTGAGTGTACTTTTACGTCCGCTTTAGGGAACTACAAAGGATTCAAGTGTTCCACTACCATTTGCATAGAAGACGGAGATAAGCAAAGATCATGAGTCAGGATAAGGAAAAATTGTAAATATATAGTCTAAGACATTGTTATTAACATTGTACTCACCTAAATCAGTATAAGTATACACATATAGCTTGATACTGAATAAAATGTGGTTGAAATATATTGTGTATGGTACATATGCTATTTAATACTGTAATTTAATGTATTATTTTTTAAATTTGTATATTATTACTGCTATCGTAGTCGCAAATTTTGTGTTGTTTTTTCGTAACGAATACGATAAAATCGTATGGGCTTGCATCTCCGTGGATTGGGTGGCATGGTTGATGCATGTCATTATATCCCAAATATGCAGATTGACACTCATGTCAATCATTAGATGGTCTTGATGAACCTTGATCATTTACAGACTGACGTCAAATAGCTGGATCAGTATTTGCTGCTGCATTACACAAGCAAACAAATCTATAGGTACTTACAGCAATTATGCGTTCTGGCAATGTGTCGGAGAATGGCATTACTCTGAGTGAGCTTAATATCACCATCCACATAGTAGGGCAACTGAAAGAACAAGGGCAGTTTAACATTTCAATGTGCATAAAGTTGGACATTGTCCCATAGATCCTCTAAAGATCAAAGTTTTGACCTGAGCATGAAGCTGAATATTGTTGAAAAGCTGACATCTGCTAGGCTTAAGATCTAACATATAGTTAATTTTGACGGTCAAAGTTAACCATGGGCTCACCTAAAGTGACTTATGTAGGTGTCGTATGGATGTACTGCTGACAGGTGAGTGAGGTGAGTGAGTGGGTGGGTGGGTGGGTGGGTGGGTGAGTGAGTGAGTGAGTATGGGTGGGTGGTTGGCCATTCGGATGTGTGTGGAGGAGTGGACGGGTTGCTGGGTGAGTGAGTGAGTGAGTGAGTGAGTGAGTGAGTGAGTGAGTGAGTGAGTGATTATGGTTTTATGTGTAGTCATGAATTTCTAAGTTTTAATTGTTATGTTACCATGGTTACAATGATACGGCAGTTACACTGAAGAACTTACATTGGGGAAGGGCAGTCCCAGGGTGGGCTTCACACTGGTCCAGGTTTCCCGGCTGTAGTCAGGAGCTGAAGAAAAACAACAAATATTTCTTACTCAATCCAAAATAAAGAAATATATACTCTGTACACAGTGGAGGAGACCATACAGGAATGTAAGCTGAGTGCAGCTTTATCCAACAGTATTGTTTCTACATTATATCATGTAGGGGCACATTCGCCATCATAGTTTTGGGACATCACACCTCCATTGCGCCTGTCTTTACAAAGCATAGAAGGAAAGGTTTCACAGCTATTGCTATGCATTTGGGGCCTGGGCCCTGTTTCCATATAACTATCATAGTGCTACAACTGCTGTAAGACTATGTTACAGTATAGGAGCTGCGACAGTCACAGCATTACGATAGACTTGTGAAACGGGGCCCTGATCTGTAGGAGTAGGAGACAGGGGGTGATGGAGATGATCACATCACTTCCAAACAGATTTTTAAATTATCACCTACCTGTACCCGTGTCAGGTAGAGTGAGTGAGCAAAGAGTGAGTGAGTAAGTATGGTTTAACGCCGCTTTTAGCAATATTCCAAAAACATCTCGGCAGGGGACACCAGAAATAATCATCACACATTGTACCCATGTTCGAATTGAACCTGGGTCTTCAGCGTGACGAGCAGACGCTTTAGCCACTTGGCTACCCCACCACCCGAGTGAGCAAAGAACTAAGTCTGGTAGTACTGCTACAGTTACTTCCTCAATGTATATTTCAGACAATATGTACTGTAATATATTTCTGCATGCTGCTGCATTTTTATTACTAGAAAGCAATGGAATCTGTTGGTTCATACAAAAAATGCCACGTTTATCACAGCTGTTAATTAAACATGAACTTGTAATAAATCATATTTTTCTGGACAACATTATTGCCAGAGTCTGAAATCACATAGGAATGAATGTGTCGTGCTGGAGACATAGTGTGACCAATGTAATGAACAATATGGAAACTTCATGAAAGCCATGTCATTTACTGTGTGAAAAATGTCTCACCATCGCCCTGCTCGTATTGAACATCCTCAAAGTCCTGGTCTACATAACTCAGCAGCAGGCGAATAGGCTGTGCCAACTGAAACAGAAGCACATCATCATCATCATCATCATCATCATCATCACCAGGATTGGTTGGGCAACATCCATATTCATTCTCTTCCCACAGAGGTTACTCCTGTCATATCTTCCTACGTAACCTCTGTTCTAATACGGCCCTTTCATGGTGTGAGCGTTCAAGACTCGTGATTGGAGGCAATCAGATTTAGTTGTGCAATCAGCGACGTTGTTTCAAAAGTGATCATTCGCAAGGCCTCTGTAATTTCCGTATACTTCGAGAAAACTAAACCTCTTCCCCTGCGCGATGCGCAAACGTTTCTTCTAGACAGAACTCAGTCATGTTATGGCGGATCAGTGACGTTTCCATCGCCCTCGTTGACAACGGACAAGCTAGCCATTAAACGTCTTGTGTGTAACATCAACACAAGTCCCCGGCAGATGGGGGATATTTGTGGCCTCACATTTGCTTGTGTTAGTCAAGTTGAATCTAAGTCGATGTAACACGTTTTCTGATTGGATAGAAAGAAGGGAGATAATTCGTGTTGCGATCTTTTGCCGCTAGGGGATTTTACGAGAACCGTGAAATATTGCCGTATTAGAACAGAGGTTCGTAGGAAGATATGACAAGTAACCTCTGTGGGAAGAGAATGCATCCATATTATGATCTGTATTAAAACAGCAAATCAGGCTCATTAATTATTCTAATCATACAAATCTGCTGCATTCACTCTTGAAGTCTATAAAGTCACTGTGAATCAATTCCAAACATAATGTTAGGTAAATCTGCGTGTCAAATGTAGCGGTGTACATCAGAGTGAGTAAGTGAGTATGGTTTTACGCCGCTTTTTAGCAATATTCCAGCAATATCACGGCGGAGGACACCAGAAATGGGCTTCACATATTGTACCCATGTGTGGGAATCGAACCCGGGCCTTCGTCGTGACGAGCGGACGCTTTAACCACTAGGCTACCCCACCGCCCCGGTGTACATCAGAAGGAATGCATGAAGCAATATACAATGTATACAGTCATTACGTTTCCTATCTCCCTACCACTGAGACTATAGTTAGGCCAAACTTAGTTTAACAAATATTTCACACTTTCACATATTAACTACATAAATTGTAGATGTAAATATGAAAAAACAGTTTTTTTCTATTTCCGACAGTACTTTAGTATTTCCTATAACAGTTCAGAAATGGTGCACGAAAAGTCTTGTTAATGCAATATGTCACTTGAAAATTGACACATGACATTCCTAGCCACACTGGAGCCAGGACCTAACATTTGTCTGTTTTACCAGTATATAAGAACTGACTTCATCATGAGGGTTCAGTGATTCCAGTCGGAGAATCAATAATCAAGTTTACCATACACTTACGAATGTCGTAGCACAAGCATACAAAAATGAGCAAAACAAAAATTTATGAACCCCAAAAAGTACTAGAATGTGTACTTTACTAAGAAAGTGTAATCTCAAATATAACATATGTTAAAATTTAATTTGGAGGAAATATTTCACTGACAATGTCTGTTTGACATGTAAATTCCAAGAAGCACTCCTAAACATCTTTTTGCCTTGTTGCACACTTCTAATACAATGTCAAACTGTATTTTTCTGTACTGAAGGTCACGTAAACCTAAGGCAAGGTAAAGTCTGTCTGGTGTTCCAGACGGTGATTAATTCATTCTGACACACAGCCCAAACATGCACTGAATACAGTCAGGTAACTTGTGGAGCCTGACCAGGCAAGACGATTGGTACATACATTTCCCTATATGGAAACTTGCTGATTTAACAGGTTCTGGGAAACAAGGCACATGTGCTATGAAACCTTGGGCCAACGTCCCAACCAGGAAGGGAAACCTTTCAGGATGAATTTCTGAAAACTTGATTTGTCAGACAAGGATGCAATATAACAGCTTGCATTATTTTAGAACGCTGCTGCTTCAGTTTCGAAATGTGATCCTGGTTCATCATTTATTATAAATCATTGTCTGTAGCCACGGTAACAGACGATATATCTGTTCAACAAGTACTGTGTTACACTGTGTTTTGATGAATATACCAATAAATACTGAAGATGAACAAAAAATAATTTCACTGTGGATCCCATGGAAAGCAAAGATAACATTAAGGCCAATTCAATTACTGTGAGGTTAGGACAAGTGACATGTTTAAAATTATTGAGTGAGTGAGTGAGTTTGGTTTTATGCCGATTTTAGCAATATTCCAGCAATATCACAGCGGGGGACACCAGAAATGGGCTTCACACATTGTGAATTGAACGCGGGTCTTCAGCATGACAAGCGAACGCTTTAACCACTAGGCTACCCCACTGCCCCTTAAAATTATGGAACGTATAATGTGCATGTATGTATGCAGGGCTGTCTATACTAGTCTGGACTGGTTGGGGGGCGATGGGGTAGCCTAGTTGTTAAAGCGCTGGCTCGTCACGCTGAAGACCCGAGTTTGATTCCCCACATGAGTACAATGTGTGAAGCCCATTTCTAGTTTCTCCCGCTGTGATATTGCTGGAATATTGCTAAAAGTGGCGTAAAACCATACTCACTCACTCACTCACTGGACAGGATGGTTTATAGTGCTAGCCCACTGAGATACCATTCCACAGTTTATCATGGGTATTCGACACAAACACATTAAACAGATGCCAACCTGACCAATCCATGTTCTATACCATTAATGCAGAGAACCACACTGGTTTTACAACCTGCCCCATATTTCAACGTCTCATGACCATGGCCCCAACAACCAAGCTTCTGATCTCTAGACTGATGCTCTATCCACTAGACCACCATAGCAGTCCTTTCCAAATCTTGCTGATTTTCTTAACCGAATGAATATGCAATACTGATAAAAGATACTTCAAATTTCATTAGTTGGTACAGTATATTCACAAGCACTGGCTAAAATGATAGATAATCGGCAACGTGGTTGATGGGAAGAATCATTACCGATTATCATTATGAACACTGTTTCGATGTCTTCCATAAAATATTGTGATGAAATAGTTTCAAGTTTTAGATACAGCACACATAGGCCACTTCTTAACCATGTCTACAGCACTCTTTTTGTTAATAACTCATGCATAACCATGTCACCAATTTTCTAGTGACATATAAAATATGTTGTTCTTTGCGCTTCTCCTCCAAGTACTTTTCAGATATTTGTCAATGTGTAGTTCATTATTAACAGTATCAGAGCTATACTGATTGCCAGTCCTTCAAAAGAGCTGAAGGGGTGCCAATCCCTTTTCCCCAATTTTTCAGATGTCTTACCTCTTACCTGTAAACTACTATTTGTATTACGAAAGGGTTATATAACAGCTAGACTCAGTTAACATGCATGGGCCTACATCTTCCAGAGTTAAGGCTGGGGTGCAAACTTCATAATAGCCATTGGGTTTCCAATTAGTTTCCTATTGGCAACTCCTCAGCAGTGTAGATGCTATCTGGGGCGGTGGGGTAGCCTAGTGGTTAAAGCGTTGGCTCGTCACGCCGAAGACCCGGGTTCGAATCCCCACATGGGTACAATGTGTGAAGCCCATTTCTGGTGTGCCCCGGCTTGATGTTGCTGGAATATTGCTAAAAGCGGCGTAAAACCAAACTCAGTCAGTCAGTCAGTCAGTGTAGATGCTATCTGCTCATGAGTGACATGACTGTAACGGCTATGGGTGCCTGGCTATGGGTGACTGGCTATGGCTGCCTGGCAAGAGCCTGGCAATGGTTAACCTAGGTATTTACTACTAGAATAAAACTGTGCTTTATAGTAAATCATAAGTATCCAAGTATAAAACTGAATGGACCTTTGTTAGTGTCATATAAAACAATATATCAACCTCCTTGATACATTCAAATTGATTCTTTACAAAGTACATTTTTTAAACTTTAGACATATTTGCTTTATCTACATTTACTTAGACAAAATAACTCTCAATAAGACTGTTTAAACAACACGTGTACGGTGTAGCAAATGAAATATTTCTATCTCGATCCATGACAGTCTCTGGAATTTTAACAGTAGCTTATGCAATGTGTAAGCTCAACAACGACAGTTAAAAAATCATACACGCACTAATTGCATTTCAACAGCAACGCAAATGTTTTATACTCACGCCGCGAATAGCCCAGTATCCAAGAGTAGGCATAGTGTGATAGTGCAAGGAAAGTGACACCGAACTCTAACACTGGTTAACTGGCGGGAGATAATGGTGTTAACGGCCGACTTTGGTATTTATACTCAGAGTGAGTTGCCCGGATGATCCGGCTTCTCGCTTGTCAAGGTGAAGGTCATACGGAAGGAGTAGTCATTACGTCACTAGTTTATCCGGGAGTCTTTTTATGATTTGTCAGTAAATATACTGCATTTTGCGCTTTATTTCCTGCACACACCAAATAAGTTGTATGATTTAACAGTGATATATTTTATAGAGGTACAGCGCGTGGTTTTTAGTTGCGTGTTTGCGAAATTCACACAATGTTCAGCACTGTCTGACCCCCAATTCTCAGAATTCACTTTCCGATTCCTCGGAAAGGGACGATTCCGAGAACACAAGCACAGTGATGAAGCAGTTTCTCATATTATGATGAACAGCTTAGAATGTTCCAGAGGTGGAAATTTCCAAAATTCTTTCGTCTCTGCATGGTTATTTTGTATGATTATTCAGTAGAAAATGTAATTATGTAGATTTAACAATTCCACACATCTCAAGACTATTTACTGATGGTTTCATTACATGTTATATTATTCACATATCAGGTTGTATTTATTCATTCCTTTCTCCATCACTACCATTATGTAATCAAGTCGTCAATCCAAAACTCCTTGATTTAAAGGGGCAGTGGGGTAGCAATTAGTGGTTAAAAACGTTCACTCGTCACGCCTAAGACCCAGGTTCGATTCCCCACATGGGTAGAATCTATAGTGTGTGAAGCCCATTTCTGGTGTCCCCTGCTGTGGTATTGCAGGAATATTGCTAAAAGTGTCGTTAAACCATACTCGCACTTCTTGATTTAAGCTGTAACACAACCTTTTCAATCGGTTTAATCAGAGTGAATACGGTTTTATGCCGCTTTCAGCAATATTCAAACAGAAATTAGACTATTGTCATAACAATGTTCACGTGTTTAGTTGATCTATACGTTGGGTATGAGCTGTACATAAGATCCCGTCTTAACGGATCCGGGTTCATATATTGTGGCGTTATTTGGACTTCTCATTTGTATACAGGTGAGGCAAGCGGATCCTCGGACAAAAAGAATGCAGTGAACGTTGACTTTAACGAGCGTTACATGTATAAACCGGATGTCGCACCAACAAAGCGCACCTGTACAAAGATGAATTTTCATATTTTACTTGTATGTTACTCAATCCTAACGCATAACTATCTTAAAGAGTATATTAAGCCCCACACTGTAACATCTTTTATCGAAATTCTTTCATCTGAAAACTCGGATGCTGTGTATAACTTATGTCTGTATTTATATAAAGTCCAACAGCTAAGAGAATCTTAATTACTTCACTGGCATGCGTGTTTCATGCAATCAAACATTGTCTGTATCATGGGCGTATGGCCTCTTTACTGCATGTAAACTGTATGTCTGCCTGAAGTCTTGAACGCGACCTTTGTAACTTCCTTATCTGAGTATGCTGACACGTGTGGCGGGATAACGGTACATTAGCCTTGGATAGGCTATGGAAAAGGTGATAAATAGATTTAACCTGTGGGACAACTTCTTTATTAACACACAAAGAAGGCACTTGCTTTCGTCATTGCAGATTGTTCACATATGTTATTATAAATCTGTTATCAGAAATCATAAATGCATGTTGATCAGCATTCTCTTCCACAGAGGTTACTCCTGTCATATATTCCTACGTAACGTAACGTAAGAAGATATGACAGGAGTAACCTCTGTGGAAGAGAATGGTTGATCAGTGTACAGTGCAAAAATTATACGAATTTACTTATGTTTAAGAAGTGATTATGATTTAGATGCGTGGCATTTTATATTTGCATATGAAGCGTATCTTTTATTATATATTGTATTATGTGTTCTATTTGAAGTTCGCCGAATGTCAATGAGAACAGGGTGCCGTTCCACTAAAGGAACCGATCTTAGCCCTATGCCAATCGTAAACCCCTAAAATCCCAATCTTAGCGTGACGTTACGATCGGCATACCGTTCCACTAACCAATCTTACCCAAGTCAATCGTAAAGTGAAGATTCAAAGTCTAAGTTGCTCATGACCAACTTAGGATAGCTAAAATCAATCGTAGAGAAACCAAAATGGTAGCTTTCCTATTCTGTGTGCAAAATAAGAGCGAGCATTTCACCGTGAGCGTCCCCTAAAGTCCCCCATGAAATGAATTTGTATATTTCTGTGAAATGTCAGGCCAGTCTGACCACTGTCGTCATGGGAACACAACCGAGCGTGTCGGTATAACACATTTGTACAACAGTATTGCAACGTCATAAAGTGAACAATGTTCTGAAGCAAAAAGATACAAATATGTTTGATTTCACTGCGCATATTTGGTGGGGGATTCTAAAGGCAGGCCGCGTGTTATTCAAGACCACTGACAGATTCTACATACGTTATAGCCTCGTCACGCCTTGTTTATTCTGATTGACAAGGTTAAGGCACATATTAAAAGCTCTGACACAATTGACATTTTTAAAGTCCAGACTTAAAACCTGTTCTCTGTATATTACTTATAATCTCGGCTGTAAATATTCTCGAGTAAATTATCTGTACACAGCGCTTTGAGCATGCCCAAGGATGTGGAATAGGCGCACTATAAATATGCATTTATTATTATTATATTATGCTTGATACCCAGCGTTCACACGCACTTGCACCTGAAACCAAGGTGCTCACTACCCTAATATTTTGCTCAGGTTTTTTCCACATTTACACTTGGTTGGAAAATACCCATGAAGGCCCGGGTTAGAATATTGAACTTCAATAACCCATGCCTGTCGTAAGAGGCTACTAACGGGATCGGGTGGTCAGGCTCGCTGACTTGGTTGACACATGTCTTCGGTTCCCATTTGAGCAGATCGATGCTCATGCTGTTGATCATTGGATTGATGAATTCAGTTCTACACAATTCTACATTAATATATTATTAAGATAGATCACAACCGGATTTCAAGTCAAGCTGGAACAAGGTAACCTACCTTCTATACAATGTACACTTCCGTCTGATATAGGTTATCTAGTGGGGATGGGGTGGGATGTGGTTCTGAATGTCTTAGTTTCACCGCATTCGCCATGTGAAACGTCTTGCTCCTAGTCTGTGAAAAAATTCTAAACTTACAGGCAGGGGGTCTGTGGGACTGGGAGGATGGTGGTGGAGTAGGTCTGTGAGGACCATCTATACAGGTGACAAGTGATTCCTATCTTCAGTCAGAGCGTCAGAGTAAACATCATACCGTGTAAACTGTAGCATGATTGATGTTAACAACTATAGCTAAACTGTAGGTGAATTTCAGAAACACGGAAGCAGAAAACCTAAGTTTTTCATTGACAATTTCAAACATGTTCACGTCACTTTTATTACAGTCATACTGGCAGTCGAGTGAGTGAATATGGTTTTCGGCGCTTTTAGCAATACTCTAGCAATACAACGGCGGGGGCACGCACAGGCCCTCGTGTCTTTGCGAGGATTAAAGATTTTCAAAAATAGTACCAAAATTTGAGATGACCCCCCGACTCGAAATGCTTCACTGTGAAGCACTTGGAGTCGGGGGTCATCTCAAAAACACTATTTTCTAAAATCTTTAATCCTCGCAAAGACACTAGGGCCTGTGGGGACACCATGCAGAAATGGGCTTCACACACTGTAGCCATGTAGGGAATCGAACCCTGGTCTTCAGTGTGACGAGCGGACACTAACCATTTAGACACACACACACACACACACACACACACACACACACACACACACACACACACACACACACACACCAGTCTGGAAGTCACCTGTGTGGCAACAACTGTCCTCATCACTACTGACACAATCCGTGACGTCCTCCCCCTTAGCAACGTCATCTTCCAGAACATTATCTTTGAGCTTATCAACACCATCAGCGACTTCTTGACATAATCGTACATAACGTCATTATAAGAACCCATGTACTAAGACTTAACATGTTGACCCCTACCTTTTCGGGTTTATTAACATTTTTTAAGGAAAACTGCAGCGGATAAGTGGAATATGTTTTCCTATCAACCATTTTCAAATGGCGTTTGAACTATTTCTCCTCCTTATCACGTTTCTAAAAGCACTCAGAGCGCTTATTACGATTATTAGGGCAAATACGGTACGTTATCTGCGGCTTTGTTAGTGCAAAGGGTTTATCTGAGGATATGATAACCCCAGAGTTGACCTGAGTCTATAGCTACTTATCTCCAACAACATCCAGCCAGAGTGCGGGAGGGTTGATAGTGAGTTTAGTTTTACGCCGCACTCAGCAATATTCCAGCTATATGGCGGCGGTCAGTACATAATCGAATCTGGACCAGACAATCCAGTGATCAACAGCATGAGCATCGATCTGCACAATTGGGAACCGATGACATGTGTCAACCAAGTCAGCGAGCCTGACCACCGATCCCGTTAGTCGCCTCTTACGACAAGCATGGGTTACTGAAGATCAATATTCTAACCCGGACCTTCACGGGTATGGGAGGGTTAAAAAGAAATAAAGACATCAAAAGGTTATTTTCAACAATTGTATTATTAATATGAAATTTATTTTCTAAAAATTATAAATCTGGATCACATGGTAATAGTCTTGAATGGTCGCTTCGTTTCTGAAACTTTCGTTTTATAAATGTAGATGAAAATAGGTCAAGTTGACGTGTTTTAGGAATGTGCCAATATGGTAAAAGTATCCAGGACATAAATTTCTACAACTGCAGGGTAAAATGAGATGAGTAATTTTGTTTTCTATTTCGCGTCGGAAGGAAACTTCAGGGCTGTTGGAAGATTGTAAGCAGTTACTGTATACATACTAAACGAAACACTCAGTGTTGTATACTTGTAGGGGAACACATTTGAACATTAATGGAATACTGTATTCTAGTCAGAGACGCTCTGGGGCTGATGCTGGGGTGGAGAGAATCAGTGTTTCACGCCGATTTTAGCAATATCTCCACAAGGTCACGACGGAGGAAACTAGTAATGGGCTTCACATGTCTTTTTTTTCCTTTTTTTTGGAGAAGAATTTCAAACCTGGGTCTTCGGCGTGACGAGAGTGGGCATTAACTATTGGCCTACCCCGTCGCCTCCTGATAAAGAAAGTGCAGTAGTTTAGCGAGAGAACGTAAAAGGACTTTTAAAACTTTGCTGATGTAGAGATTGATTAAATACACAATATCAACGGCAGCCCAAGGTCAATACGCTCATTTTACAATGTATAGATTTCTTACGTGTTTCGTTTTATTACGAAAAAGCGCGTAAATTTTGAACTGTTTAGGGTAACCAGGGTTGGGTCCCCAACCGGTTGTATTACAACGTGTATTTTGATAACAATACCGGCGTCTGTGCTCATGTGATTGGCCGACAACAGTGAACATGAAACATTTGCATTTCGCCCAGACCGGTGAAACGGGGGCAGCCTGACCCAAACGGGTGCAGTCTGGTCGATAACGGTGACATTATACATAAAATACAGGAAAGCCACATAATATGCCACCACTCCACTAAAGCATCACAGGCGTCTTAATCCCATGAGCCATTATCTCAACCTGTCACCCCTCACACATACACAACGCAAACTGTTGGATTTTGTCGAGCACGATTTTATATTATAGAATGTTTAAATTTCATATTCTGACCAGGGGCCGATCCACAAAACTATCGTGGCATCACGTCATTCGTCACATCATAAACCATATGAGTGTGAGTGAGTGAGTTTAGTTTTACACATTCATCAATATTCCAGCTATATGACGGCGGTCTCTAAATAATCGAGTCAGAACCAGACAATCCAGTGATCAACAGCAAGAGCATTGATCTACGCAATTGGGATACGATGACAAGTGTCAACCAAGTCAGCGAGCCTGACCACCGATCCCGTTACTTACGCGACAGGACGACGTTAACCCAATGTCGCCTCATCTCACCTCTTTCGACAAGCATGGGTTACTGAAGACCAATTCTTTCCCGGATCTCCACGGGGAGACAAGCATGGGTTACTGAAGACCAATTCTTTCCCGGATCTCCACGGGAGACAAGCATGGGTTACTGAAGACCAATTCTTTCCCGGATCTCCACGGGGAGACAAGCATGGGTTACTGAAGACCAATTCTTTCCCGGATCTCCACGGGGAGACAAGCATGGGTTACTGAAGACCAATTCTTTCCCGGATCTCCACGGATCTCCACGGGGGAGACAAGCATGGGTTACTGAAGACCAATTCTCCACGGGGAGACAAGCATGGGTTACTGAAGATCTCCATCTCCACGGGAGACAAGCATGGGTTACTGAAGACCAATTCTTTCCCGGATCTCCACGGGGAGACAAGCATGGGTTACTGAAGACCAATTCTTTCCCGGATCTCCACGGGGAGACAAGCATGGGTTACTGAAGACCAATTCTTTCCCGGATCTCCACGGGGAGACAAGCATGGGTTACTGAAGACCAATTCTTTCCCGGATCTCCACGGGGAGACAAGCATGGGTTACTGAAGACCAATTCTTTCCCGGATCTCCACGGGGAGACAAGCATGGGTTACTGAAGACCAATTCTTTCCCGGATCTCCACGGGGAGACAAGCATGGGTTACTGAAGACCAATTGAAGACCAATTTTCCCGGATCTCAATTCTTTCCCGGATCTCCACGGGGAGACAAGCATGGGTTACTGAAGACCAATTCTTTCCCGGATCTTCATGAAGAATGATAACAATATATGGATGAACAACCGTGATACAGAAGTTGTTCATCCAGACATTGTTATCCTTCCTTACTACTCCAACTTCTAAATGTCCCTCAAAGAATAGTGTGATATGTACTCGGATACAGTGGTCAAATATTGTAATATAAGAACAAATTATAATGAAGATATATACCTACTTTCTAAAAAGTATAATATAAGCGAATAAACATAACTGCCCTGACCTTGGCAACACACAACAATGCTTCAAAGGGTCATGGTGACACGAAGTCCTTGTGCACTGACTCATTTCAGCGTGTTCATTGTCAGTAGTCTGACATCTAACCTCACAAGGTTGTACCGGAATTTAACTGATCGTATCGAAAACATACTCTTTCAAATCAATAACACGGCGAATAAAATCACTGACTGGAATCTGCAGAATATATGATCTGCAAACAGAAAACTAAGAAGAGATAATATTGATTGTTTTATACACGGAGTATCAACTTCAATTCTTGCCATCGACTACGACTACTTTTGTTTACATGCAGGACTCTGAATTCACACCAGATAGTAGTCTGTCTCACAGTCCCTGAACCACATTATTTCCCCTACTGCTAAGACCTCCCTACAATGGTAAAGCCCTACACGAAGCAAATCTAAATCCCCCAACTCACTGGGTCCCCTTTTCGATGTAAACAGGTATATTTGTTACTGTCAAAATTATAACCAGATAGTACCGGGGGGTAGTATCATGCCATGTCACCCCTTCAATTTTTTAATTGGAGAGGGGTGTGAGGTGTGTGGGGTTGGGGTGGGAGGGGGTGACAACCATTATTGGCATGAGTATATTATGAGATACGTTATACACTATGCTATACATTATAATGATATTTTATGATCAAAATACATTACCTTCGTAAACTCTGTATGGCAAACAAGCCAATGTAATTTGTTTTATTGTCGATTGTTTTCTTACTGTAAGTTGGGGACTCACCTTAATAAGGAATTCCCAAGTGCCATGTATGTGAAGCGGTTGCAGCGACCAAGTGTCACATTACCCTGATTACATGTCATTTAACCCCAGAGATATTCCAGTAGTCTGTCATACAGACCCTGAAGAAAGTATATCTAAGAAAGCCCACGCAAGTCTAGAAAATGTGGCAAGTCTAGATTTCCACAGCTGCTGAAAATGAAGAAAGTCTCAGGGCTCCTATTCATTGTATTATTTTTTTTCACTTTAAGCCTTTTTTCTGTAAAATATGTTCATTTCAGAGACTAGTTGTTAGTCTAATATTCCAGATGAATCTGCCTGGACCCGACAAATCCGTGACTGATTAACAGTATGTTACAATCACGACCTTCGTGGATGCGATGAACGTAATGCTAACACTATAAAGTGTGACTACGTCACCGAATCTTCATACAAACAGTACATTTACAGAAAACGGTTACTGTTAAATGCCAACATGCCACAACATTAGAGACCCACTTTCTGCTTTCCTTATGACAGAGCGCACAAACTGAGGAAATACGGTTCGTCCTTCATTAAACAAGGCATTTCCTTTTTTTATTCAAGCGGTATCATTGTCCAAGTCTGCTTATCGGTTGTAGGAAAAAAGTCATAGGCAAAAAGGTCAGATAGAAAATGCACTATCATCATAACACTATCATCTGCTGATTACATACGCTGAGTGTTGTGACAACTGAAAACCTACAAGTAGAAGATAAGTTACCTATTCTGTCATTTTAAGTCAAATAATTGTTATTAGTGTCAGTATTAGTACAGTAGATTTGTAGTAAAGTTTCAAGTCGGCATGTTGTAACTCACTGGCTTCAATTCTCAGTACACAGCGAAGAAAGACTAAATTCTATCGCTAAAAACTTCTTTCACATATTCGTTTAATTTTTAGAAGGGAAATATACCATCAGTTGAATGGTGTTTGCAAGTAATAGTGATAGTTTTATAACTAAAAATTTGTTGTTAGGGTGTATTTGAGGTGTGTGAAAAATATGACATATCGCCGATCTGCCATTGAAATACTACAGGGCGTTGTTGGAGTGTTTCTAGTTATTGTTCTAAAACATCTTTCACATACACCTTTAATTTTTATGAGGGGAATATACCATCAGGTGAAAGGTTTTTGCAAGTATTAGTGATAGTTTTATAATTTTAAATTTTTTTGTTAGGGTGTATTTGAGGTGAGTGAAAAATATGACATATCACCGATCTGCCATTGAAATACTACAGGGCGTTGTTGGAGTGTTTCTAGTTATTGTTCTAAAACATCTTTCACATACACCTTTAATTTTTATGAGGGGAATATACCATCAGGTGAAAGGTTTTTGCAAGTATTAGTGATAGTTTTATAATTTAAAAAAAATATTTTAGGGTGTATTTGAGGTTTGTGAAAAATATGACATATCACCGATCTGTTCCGATACGCCATTGATGCTTGTGATGCTTGAGTGTTATAGTTCTCAAACTTCTTTCTTTCTTGTTGGTCTTAGTATTTGACAAAACTGGAAAGGTGTTTACAACGCTTTTTGATAGTTCTAAACTTTCTGTTTTTGAGGGCTCTGTGA